GAAGATGGAGGTAGTATTTTCCTCCAAAATGCTGGTACCTATCTACCAGACAACACAGTGCCCTAATGAAGAAAACAGCGCTGTAAAGGAATCGTTAGTTGATATTTTGAAGTACTGTGATATTCTTTCATTTTCAGTTATCCTCAAACATCAGAGCGGTCCCCATGCAGTCTTGGAAACTCACATTTGTCCAGCAGGGGACAAGGCCTCCACAAGAAAGGTTCCGTTCGAGAAAGTGGAGATGTGCTCAAAAGATCTCGGGTCCAAACTACGTGAGTAGATATTTTTACTTTTACTTTATTTAGTAGGTGGTTTCTGACATTTATTAAGAAGGATTGCTTTTAATGTAACTTTTTTCTTAAAATGTGTGTATCCTTGATGACAACATGAAGAAGACATTTATAACCAGTATTATAACTGAGTTTAATATAATGCAGAGTAATTGAGAGTTCAGTTTTTAGTTTGATAATATAGATTATGTGATACTGATATGGTCATTTTAATCTTATCTGTTTCATAATTCCTGTTGCACATACAGCATTATCTCCCAGTTGTTCTCTAGAATTGCATAATTTGCTGTTTCATATTGCATAGTTGTAAGTTTTCACTTACATGCATGTAAATCAGTTTATTTTCATATCATTACACTTTTCAGGTATGAACTCTCACAAGATTTGTTAGAAAAACAAATTGAGATGCTGGAGCGGAAATACGGTGGTGTGAAGGCTCGTAATGCAGCTCTTACAATCCAGAGGGCATTCCGTCGCTACACACTACTGAAGAAATTCGCTGCAATCACTGCAATGGCTAAAGCTGAGAAACGACTTAGCCGGAGACTACACACTTCATATGAGGTTTGCGCCCGATTTGTAGACAGTGAACTGGTTATCAGAAACAATTTTGCAGGCTTGTCTCAAGAGTTACGGCAAAATTGTTCCCCACAGTCTCATGTCACTACCCGCCCCCTGCCACTACGCTCCATGTCGATGCGAGAACGGCGGAACATTGACAGTCTCCCTCTACCAAGGAGTCAGTCTAGTCGCTGTGATACGGCTCATTTCAATGTCCAGTTGGATTACTACACCCCCACATCATTGGCGCCATGCCCTTCCTATAATGGCCCTAAACACTTCTGGGACACAACGCACTACTACATGCCACAGGAGGCATTCTCGGAAAGTGGTGAGGTGAGTAACCCCCCAAATTATTTGACAGTTGGGGGACATTCAGAATTTCAAAATTTTGCTTATATGCATTTTCAGTGTTGTGCATTTTCTACTTGCTGAGCATTTCATTTTACTTAGATTTAAATGCTATATCCCTGTAATTGTTTTTAAATTATTTAATTGTAATTTCCTTTGGCTGAAAAAATTTTCATGTTTTACAGTGGAGTATATTACCTGTAAAGCTGAATATCTTATGGCTATTTCCTACACCGAGTGCATCTAAAAGATGTCCTAGGAATCACAGCATGAATCTGTGATGTCAGCCTGCAGTAAGAACATCTTTTGATATAGATGAACACACACTGCTTGCTTAGTTGTGACCACTGCTAGATGTCAGTACTGATGTGACAGCAGCCAGTACAGCAAACACTATTTACTTATATCCCAAATAGCACAGACAGTTCTTGCAATGCAGGTATACTGCGATTTTCGAGTACACTGTAGTTGCATTCCTGTATAATAATTTGTAAAGCAAAACTCATTTATTGAAACATTTTACTGTAGACTCTATGTTAAAAACGTGGTTACATTCCAGAATGGACATTTCTCACTGATAAATCACAGGACGGTCAGTTAAGACAGAAACTTGCTTTTCGTGATGGCACTATAATAGTTTACTGTGTGACCAGAGGGGGAATAGCACAGGCATTTCCCCTCCAGTGAGTGCTTTCTCTTTCTATGCAAATGGAACGTTATTACTGATTTTTCTACTGGCTACTATAAAGAGGTAACTCAGAACTACCATATTTTGTAAGAACTCTTAGAAATCAGCCCTGCTTTCAAGCATGCCTCACAGACTGTAAACAAGTTTCATTATATGTTCTGAAGTGAATAATTGACCATGGCCTTACAGAACACACCACTGCTGCCACTTTGCATTAGCCAATTGCAGAAGTGAATTGTTGCTGTATATTCTGATTACTTAAGCTCATCCACATAAGTAATTTATACAGGCAGAATTTTATTAGCCTTGTGGCTCTGAACCTAGGTTTTTTCTTACATAAGAGCATAATATCAGCAGTTATGAGGGTAGAGTTCATTAGTGATAGGGTACATAATACTAAGAGGTCGCTGGTGTGATATCATTCAGAATGTTCATGCCCCAATGGAAGGTAAAATTGATGATATAAAGGACATGTTCCGCAAAGAAGTGGAACTTATATTTGGTAAATTCCCGAAGTACCATATGAAAATTTTGTTAGGAGATTTAAGTGCCAAAGTAGGCAGGGAAGACATTTTTCAAACCAATGATTGAGAATGAGAGTTTGCCCAAAATTAGTAATCAAAGTGGAGTCACAGTAGTAAACTTTGTCACATAAAAAAATCTTACTATCAGAAGTACAATGTTCCCACATTGTTACATTCATAAATTTACTTGGACATCTGATGGGAAGACACAAAATGAAGTTGACCATATTTTGATAGATAGAAGACAACAGTCAAATATACTTGATGTCTGATCATTCAGGGCAGCAGATTGTGGTACTGATGACTACCTGGTGGTGGCAAAGTTTAAGGAAATACTGGCAGTGAGTAAGCAAATAAAGCACAGAGTTCATATGGAGAGATTCACTCTCAAGAAATTAAATGAGATAGAGGGTAAGGAGCCAAACTGCAGTGGTTACAGGATCCCAGCGAAATAAACAAGGATAATCTGAACAATATAAGACATGAAACCAGCAGGCATTTCAGGAGTAAAAAGAGGGAATATCTGAAAGACAAAATTGATGAGCTTACAACAAAGGGTAAGAACAAGAGCATTAGAGACTTATATAGAGAAATAAATGACTAAGAGGGGTTAGCAACCGAGAAGTAACTTAGTGAAGGATGAGAATGGTGATCTGCTTGCAGATTCCCTCAACATTTTCAATAGGTGGAAGAACTGCTTCTCTTAGTTATTGAATGTACATGGGGTCAATGATGTTAGGCAGATACAAATATATACAGCTGAGCCGTTAATACCTGATTCTAGCCCTTTTGAGTTTGAAATTGCTATTGCAAAATTGAAAAGGTATAAATCGCCAGTTAGTGACAAAATTCTGGCAGAACTTACTCAATCAGGAAGTGAAATATTATGTTCTAAGTTCCATAAGCTAATTAATTCTATTTGGAATAAGGAAAAATTGCCTGATCAATGGAAGGAGTCTATTATTGTACCAGTTCTCAAGAAGGGTGATAAAACTGACTGTAATAATTACCGTAGGATATCACTGCTATCAATTTCATACAAAATTATATCCTATATCCTTGTCTCAAGGTTAATTCCATATATAGATGAAATTATTGGGATCATCAGTGTGGGTTTTGATGTAACAGATCAACTACTTACCAGATATTTTGCATTCGTCAGATACTGGAGAAAAAATATGAGTACAATGAGACAGTATATCACCTATTCATAGACTTTAAGAAAGCCTATGATTCAGTTCGGAGGGAAGTATTATACAATATTCTCATAGATTTTGGGATACCCATGAAACTAGTCAGGCTGATTAAAATGTGTTTAATCAAAATGTGTGGGAAATTCCATATAGGTAAACATTTGCATGACAATTTTCCTATCCAAAATGGTCTACAACAAGGAGATGCTTTATCGCCACTCCTTTTCAACTTTGTCTTAGAATATGCCATTGGGAAGGTCCAAGAAAACCAGATGAGACTGAAATTAAATGGGATACATCAGCTGTTGGTCTGTACTAATGATGTAGATAACTACAAAGAGAAACACACAAACTTTAACTGATGCTAATAAGGAGGTTGGTCTAGAAGTAAACACAAGGAAAAATAATTATATATTACTATCTCGTCACCAAAATGGGAATATTTGGGAATGGCGATAACAAGTCAAAACCGGATTCAGGAGGAAATTAAGAGGAGATTGAACTCGGGTAATGCTTGCTACCATTCAGTACAGAAACTTTTGTCTTCTCATCTGCTGTCCAAAAACATAAAAATTAGAATATACAAAACTATAATTTCTTGGCTGTGGTTCTGTATGGCCGTGAAACTTGGTCTCTTACATTAAAGGAGGAACATAGACTGAGGGTGTTTGATAACGAGGTGTTGAGAATATTTGGACCAATGAGAGATGAAGTGACAGGAGGCTGGAGAAAACTTCATAATGAGGAGCTTCATAACTTGTATTCTTTTCCAAGTATAATTAAAATGATCAAATCAATGAGGATGAGATGGACAGGGCATATATCACAAATGGGGAGAAGAGGAATGCATGTAGGATATTGGTGGGAAAGCCAGAAGGAAAGCGACCACTGGGAAGACCAAGGCATAGGTGGGTGAACAATATTAAAATGGATCTTAGAGAGATAGGATGGGATGGTATGGATTGGATTGATCTGGCTCAGGATAGGGACCAATGGAGGGTTCTTGTGGATTTGGTAATGAGCCTTCTGGTCTTATAATATGCTGGGAAGTTCTTGAGTGTCTGCACAATCGGCGGCCTATCAAGAAGGGCTCAGCTCCATGAGTGAATGAGTGAGTGAGTGAGTGTGCCTCTGAACACAGATCCCAGCAAAACCCGTTTCCCATGCCATGTGTCTTAATAATTTGTGAGTCCAGACCTGTAACCATGCTTGAATATCTTAAGTGTTTTGTTTTGTTATGTTACTACTGCCTTGTTGAATTGTTTCTTTTAATTACAAACAACCTGTGATCCTTCATTTTGACAAGTTTCGTTACACATGACTTTGTGGAATTTATTCCCCGATGGTATTAGAAATGAACCTTCAAATGTCCTTTCTGTAACTTTTCTTTCTTACGAAGGATCTGACTGTGTGAAGTCGCTTATGAATTGTATGCCCCATTGCAGTAGTAACTGATACAAACCTGAGGATACAGAGACCTGAACTAGCAGAACATTCACATGCTGATCATACCAGGTGTGTTGACCATGCAAAGAAGTCATACTTATGTCGGGAAGTTCCATGGTCATTACAGACAAAATATCCTGTACAGTCTGTTTGTTGTTTACCTTCATTACTGTATTGCTCGTCTTATTTGTAGTATATATGAATGTGGAGTGAAGAAAATTCTCGTCTCATTGAACAAGTAGTAGGATGGTGTGCTGTTGTTGCACTTCATATCATTCACTTCAGAAATTCAGAATATGTCGCAAAACATGTTTGTGTGCTGCAAGGGATGTTCGAAAGCAGAACGGGGTTAGTTCCATGAATTTGTATAAAATAAGGCAAGTTTTTGCTAATCAGTAATGAGGTTCTGTTTAATAAATAGAGAGACTCAGTGCCCAGTGCAAGGGAAGTGATCACACAGTAAACTGCCATTGCACTCTCACAAGCTGCAGTTGAATATTCTGTAGGTGATTATGATCCCTTGGTTATGCCAGAGTGAAATGACATTTAAAGGCATCTAAACATATTCATATGACATTAAATAATAAATTTTACATTACAAATCATACATAATTACTATATTATTGGCATTTGCCCAGAATGATACTGAAATTGGCTGACAGGAAGGATATTAGAGACCTCTAGAGATTAGTGCAGGAAATGGAGGAAATAGTATCAACAGAGAGGCTTCATCTGATTCTTGGTTATCTTTAATTTCTGAGGTTGTGGGAATTTAACTTTTTTCTTGTAATTTAGCATCTTTTCTCTTTCATCTTCATGGCCTTTTTTTTAAAAATACACATGTGTATAAATAAAGACGCATTATGTAAGTTGTAGATATTTCCAAGAATGAGTATACAAGAACATGCAGACTGGAGACATGTAAGCCAAGGTATACCTATACATAAATACGTGTATGTGGTGTATACAAGATAAGTCTGAGTGTTGAATTATTTACACTGTTATTAGCATGTTATATAACTTTCCTAAAGCTCTTTGTTAAAATTTTTTCAGTGTTAAAAATTTAATTCATGACTGTATCTATTTCATTATTATATTTTCACAGTGCTGAGTTGTAAGCACAACACTGTGCATATTAGCAGTGGTAAATATTATTGGATGGAATATTTGATGGAATTTCTTATAGAAGTTTAATTTTATCATCCTTTTTGCAGTTCTTCAAAATTTTGTCCCATCTTGGATAGTCATTATCAAATATTTACTTGCTTTGGTGCTTAGTGGCAGTTACTCTTTCCATATCAACCACTATGTATATTCATAGAGTGTTTGTAGAGAGGTATTAACACATTTGCTTCCACCTTAGTTAAGTGCATAACTTGGGCCGCGCCATAGCTCAAGCGGTCAGTCTCTGGCTTTCCACCGCGGCGGCCCGTGTTCAATCCTGGGTCTAGTCAAGTGGGATTTGTGGTGGACAAAGTGGCGCTGTGGCAGGTTTTCTCCAAGTACTTCAGTTCCCCTGCCAATCTTCATTCCACCAATTGCTCCACAATCACCCTCACCTGTCATTTGGGGCAGGTACAATAGGCCAGAAGTGGCCGCAGTACAAGGGACTTAGTCCCACCCCACTAGCAATAAAAGAAATAAGCATGTTACTTTCCTCAGAAAAAAATGCCTTTTTTTTTGTGGTTTTCTGTAGCATATGATGCAACAGATAACAGCTGTACCATGTTATGTTTTCATTTTTGTCAATAGAACCTTCAAAATTGTCCATATTGGTTTATGACAAATGAAAATAACAAATTGTTGATGTTGATTCTGAACTTTGGTCTTTGTGTTGTGTGGATGCGAGCAGATATTTTGGAAGTAATGGTGCGTCCTTCTTCAGCATGAACATTAATAGGGAGAGTAGGTGTTCAAGTTATATAGATTTTGGTCTAAAACAGTCAAGGAGGGAAGGGTAGGGGGCCATTGTCTCAGCTTGTAGGGACAGTGGACAGGATGAACTTGTAATAATGGTTGTTTTTACTCTTTCTTATTTGCTTTTCACTCTGCTGCCAGATAATTTGTTGCTTCAGGTGATTTGGGATCCATTGTCGGGGTATGGAGAAGTCAGTAGCTGCCAAGTATAACAGAGTCTGGAATTGTATAAAAACAGTTTTTCCCCAGAGTATCTGAAGTGCAGGTTGTTTGCCTTTAGCATTATCATTTGAATTACACATACCTTTATGTTCTTGTACCATTCTGTTTCTATCACTAGGATAATATGAAGGAATTTGGTCTTGCCAATCAACGTGTCATGCATTTATTGTATTGCTTTTGACTGCTTCGCTGTTTAATCTTAGTTGTTAGTTGTGTCAACCATAACCACTTCAAATTCTGTTGAGCTGAAGGGAATATCTCATTTGCTCTTACACCATGTCACAGCCAGGTCATTGGCATACTAACTATGATGTTCACCCTGTTGTAGCTTTCATTTAGTCACTTGTGTGGGGCTATTTCTACAGCCAACACATAATGTCCCAGTGAATGTAGCAATTATAATGACAGGCTATATCTGGAGGTAATGTTATTTATATATAGTGATGTTTATCCTCCCATCAGTTAATTTCATTAGTATATTTGTCCAGGTTCCCTTGTCACCCAGATTATCAACTTGTCCTGTGTACATAAAGACATGAAGAATCATTCCACTTTCTTTGGTCAGAATGTATAGTTCTATTCCATATTTGTAATTATCTTTGATTTACCGCCTGAAAACTAGTCATCCTCTCCACAGAGCCACTGATTCATTCTGTGAAACTTCCTTCACCAGGAAGTACACACTATCACTAGTATTGTTGAATGGGTCTTATAGGGGCCTATCAGCAATCGCTTTTCCAGGCTTTGGTTTTATTGTAAAATGGAGGCATCATAGAATGAAAAAATTATTGCAACAATACATGAAGGACACTCCATTTTGAAAAATTTGTCAATTTTCTAATTATCTTGGAGGTAAGGCTTTTGGATTTTACGTATGTCCCACAAAAAATCCAGAAATACTTTCCTTTCTGCTATGATAACATCTTTTAAACCAATCATTCTGACTTCTCCTCAACTCCAGGCAGACCTGTTTCTACAGCATAAGTATGCTAAGATCATAGAACTTGTCACTGACAAACAAGCTGAAAAGAATTGTAGAATCCATTCCACCAGCTGTTATAGTCTTCAGTCCACATACACCAGTAAAGTCAATATTTTTCACAATTTAGGATTCATGAGACTAGATATGGTTTGAGTTGGACACTTCAAATAGGATGGGAAGAAATAATTTCCCTTGTTGCAGATGAGTCACATTCACTTTCACAGTCACTAAAATTTGCTGTCAGTATTTTCAGATATTGTTTCTAACAAATAAAAAATTGTATTATTCTTAAGTTTTTGCTGTGGCAGGTTGTGGTAGTTCTGTTCATGGAAGACGCTGAGTTCAGTTACAACAATCATCAGTTTAGTTTTGTCTGTCATGGTTTATAGAGACGAAAATCACTGGGATAAAAAGCAGGACGATACACACCTTGAACCTCAACCTGAATACTGCTCTAGCAAGAAGAAATACAATAACAATGCTGACAAGTTCAGATTGGCAAACCCACTGATACCACAGTACCATGCATGTGAGTCATCAGCACCTGCAGCTTACACATGCTCCTGATGCACTTCAAGTGGCAGGAATTGTGTTAGTAAAAAGCAAGCAACTTTTGAGAGGTATCTCAGCCTCAGGGACTCAAATTCCTATTCTGCATCTTCCAGTTTAATTCCCATTCTGTGTGTGTGTGTGTGTGAATGCACATGTGTGTTGAAGTTATTCCTTAAAATGAATATCTTTCTTCCAAATATTTAATTCTGTGGGTACTTTATTTAGATACTTCCATCCATTTTGTACTGTATGTATGACTAGTCTGTCCTTTCTCTCCACTGTCAGTAAAACAACTTATTAGATCTGTTTCAGTTTGGAATGTCATCTACATGGGTTCCTACATCTTCATTCTATGAAACACATTACAAATACACTAGACGCCCTTGGTGCATGTACTCACACTGTTTAATGGCAGTCCAGTGACACAATGGAAATTCAAGTGGTTAACAAAGATTTCAGACTACTTGACTAATTTTATCGGAAGGTATATGTATTCACAATCTGTCTATAATGCAATAATTGTTTTATTCACGTTTTAACACTCAACACAACGTGTTTTGGCTATAGATGCCCATCTTCAGTTGTTTTAATGTGTCCAACTGTTACACTGTTCTGAAGTGTGCTAAACTCGTACGTTGCAATCCACTTAAAATAACATAAGTAATTAGTTTAAATCCATTATAATTTTCTATTAAAATTTTTTGTAAAATCCTATTCCACTTCATAAGTGGTGTTGTCTGCTTCAGAAGAGTGTAACAGTTGGATGCATTAAAACACCTGAAGATGGCCATCTATGGCCAAAACATGTTGTGTTGAGTGTTAAATGGCGAATAAACAATTGTTGCATTATAGACCGACTGTGAATACATAGATGTTTGGTTAAAGATTTGCAACAGGATGCTGAAATACAGACTTATTTTATGTTCAGATTAAGTGGTAAGAGTAAATTACAATTTTTAAATTATTTTAGATGCCGTAGCATAGTTGGTTGAGGCACTATGCTACAGTTGCAGGTTCAAGTCCCGTTGAGGTCATTGAATTTTTTTCAGTTGACCTAATCCTTCCAGCCATACTATGGCCCTGGGGTTGACTCAACCTCTAACAGAAATGAGTACCAGGAATATTCTTGGGGGTAAAGGATGCCATCTATGAGCCAATTGTCTAGAAAATGTGGGAACCTCAACATCTCACAACCCTATGGGCCTCCACGGCCTGTTACAGGGGTACCTTTACTTTTTTACTTTTACGTTACGTTATTTGTGTGCTGTTTGAAATATTTGTGTTGAGTACACACAAGGTATATACACAGAAATAAATAGATAATGCACATTAATCTGTTGAATCAACTGCTGCCCAAGTGACAATTGTCATTTAATTGTAGTTTGGACAGGACAGTGCTCTGAATCGAGACTCATCATTACGTCGAACCATTGCCACATCACCACTTCACCAAAATAATGCACCTTGGAATAGACAAGAGAGTTGGACATCAAAATCAGGGACCCCACCACAGAGACCATGGTGCCAAGGGCAGAAAGTACCTCCAGAGGTGCCAAAAAGAACTTCATCCATCTCTTCCCGATCGACAGAAACAAGATCTCTTCGAGCCAATGGCCTGAATAAGACAAGGGAAAATGGGAGTTTATCTAGTGTTCAGTCTTCAGGAAGTGATAGCAGCCTTTCTACTGACAGAGTTACATGTGAGAATTTAGAAGACAGTAACCATAGATGTTCTCCAATATGGAAACGGAAAGGCCAGGTAAATGAAGCCAGTAGATTTTATAAGTTTTCACTGATAACTGATTTTGATCTTACAGATCTGGAAATTGTGTTTGCTTATAAGAACTGGTTCTCAGTCACCTGTAGAAAAATTAAGCATTCACATGCTTGTAAACAGCTGGGAAATGTAAATATAATAGGTTCATTTATGAATTTTGCAGTATTTGTGCATGTTGTATTGAATCGTCATCATCTCACTGATTAACATGACATCTTTCTTCAGTAGTTTGGTCAGGGAATTCTCTTTAGTTAATAAGTGAAAAATTCATCACTGCTATCACAGAATGGTACCATTGAATTTTATCCTGAACTGCCGTTGTTAACGTTTACTTCTTCATAATCTGAGATCCATTTTAATCCCACCGTATGGGCCTACACCTTGGTCCTTCGAGTGGTGTCTATCCATTAAGTTTTATCAGATATTTTAAAGAATTTGTGTTCCCTGTGTATGTATGCTACATGTCCCTGATTTAATCAGACAGACATTACTAGGTAAAGAATACAAATTCTGAAGCTTGTTTTGTGTTTTATTAATCCCTTGTTACATTTAGAATGATTCTGGGGGTCTACCTAGCTAGCTCTAGCCTGACAGCTTTATTTTTTTTACCTTTACCTATTATCCAGTCATTTTATGGTCTGTGGTCATGAGTTATTGATACCATCTTTAAGTAAACAAATAAATTAATCAATTAATAAATACATATAAACACTGTCAACTGTAGTGACAGTTGTATGAACGTTCTTGTGTGTATGAATTTCATAGTTACAGGGCATTTTATATGTAAATTTATGTATGTAGTCTTCCATGTTAACTATTGAAGGAAGAGTTAGTAATTAGTTTTTTCTTCAGTCAAACTCACCCGATCATCAAGAAGTGTCATCGGAACCTTCCAGTAAAGAACTGAGCCGCTCACATACAAATGCAGCATATCAGCTTCCATTGCAAGATCATGTAGAAGCCCAGGGACAACATACTATGTATAAGGTATCATTTCACTAGTTTAAAATTTTCATGTTTCAGTAGTGTAGGTATATGAAAACTTTATTCACATTTTGGTAGCTCTTATTATTGGAAAATGTTTGAAATATAGAGTGCATGTCATATTAATTAGTCAAATGAAAAGTGACTGTAAAGCCGTTAATTAAAATAGATTTAATCTTTCTAGACTGCTGTATTTTATATTACTGTGTGTTCATACTTGTGGAAAGGACCTTATGAAAATTCAAGAAGGAATAATTTTTTATGTATCTTCATCCTTCAGTGTCTTTTTTCTACCGTTATCTTCTTCCCTCTTTTCTCTGTCAAAACAGTGAACTGAGTTACATATTTGTCCTTCAGATGGCACAATTTCAAACATACAGATGCCACCTATGTAAGAACATGAAAACTATATTATCATGAAATGGCATAAAAGTGACTTAATATATAAATATATAAACCTGCTAGTTCCATCTTCACGGTAGATGAGTGTCACTGGGAGATTTGAGATACTTACAGCAGCAATAAGATTATGGTCTTCTGGGGTGTAATGCTGTATAGTGAGCAGTAACGCTTGTCAGTGCTGAAGACCATGGCCATTGGTTCCCCTGCAACCTTGGCACATATGTACCAAACTACACCGCATTCCATTCCGTTTACAGTAGCATTTCCACATCATTGGTTGTGGGTATATTAATTTTATAGCCATTTATTATGTTACATGTAATAGATAAATTAAACAACAAACGTTTAACTTCTCTGTTTAATGGTGTATTAATCAGGATATATTTTGTGCTGTAATAAATACAAACACAGTATTGACAGTCAGAAAATGTTAATTAAATAATATTCTGAATTTAGCACATTTGATAAGTACTGTACTGAGAAAACTTGTTTTATGTGGCAGTGAAATTCAGCTTGTATGCAGCACTTAGGTGAGTTCTTAAAAATTCAACAAATCTTATCCGAAAAGATAAATAAATGCTAAAGATTCAGTTATGTCTCCTTTGTAGTGTTTGTTTTGCCTTCTAATGATGTCCAATAGTGGCTGAAACATGTAAAGGCTTTATTAAATATTATTTTTTCCACTTGATGGACCTTGATACTTATCAGTTTGTTACAAAGTGTGACAGCTCAGAATATCTCTTTTAAAAATATCTATGTGTGTGTTTGTTTTTTCCTCTAAAAATATGTTTACTGCTACTCTTGTGCCTAGTTTTAGCCTCAAGGTTGAAACACGTACCACATCGGTAGATTTTCAACTTTCAACAAGTTTGCCAGTATGTGTACAGGCATGTAACAGCTGAAAAAATTTCACATGCCTACATATCAGATATGTACATACATGCATGCATGCTTACATACATACATATGTACATATGTTCATGTACACATATGAGACTTAGGTTTATTAAAACTGCTCCTTACAGGTTTCAGAGACAGTGAGGAAACGTCAGTATAGAGTAGGCCTCAATCTTTTCAATAAAAAACCTGAAAGGGGAATTGCCTACCTTATTCGTCGTGGCTTTCTTGAAAATTCGCCCCAGGGAGTTGCAAGGTTCCTGATATCAAGAAAAGGACTGAGTAAGCAGATGATAGGGGAATACTTAGGCAACTTACAGAGTCCTTTCAACATGGCTGTGCTTGAGTAAGTTAAATTTTATTACCTCTTTCAGTATTTTAAGAATTTCTTTTTTGGCAGTGACAGTAATAATATGCACCTCTGAATTTGGTACAAGGTGCAGGAATTCCTTTGTTCATGTACTTTTGGATAATGTATCTTTCTTATTACCTGGTTTTTCTCTTGAAGATCATTTTTCAATGATGCAAGAGATTACCGTTATTGTACAGATAAGATACAGGATGGCATTGGCTGTGCATTTTCCATGTTCTGTTTATAGTCTCTTCATACCAATTCACTTTCTTCCTGCAGGACTACATTGCATTTAGATTTGCCATATTTTTCCTTATTTTCATTGAACTTGTTTTTGACAAGACAGGTTAATCTGGAGGTAATGCTGTAGACATGTATTAGGAAAGCACTGTGTTTTATTCTCAGCCAGGATACTGGCTATAGACTGACTGAAGTATTTCGTGGTTTTTCTGAGTCATTCAAGGCAAGTGACATGATAGTTCCTTAACTAAGCTGTGACACTTTCTTCCAATCCTTTCCAAATCATCATTCATCTTCTTACCATCTGATGCTGTGTAGTCTTGTTGACCAAAAGCAATGTTGAAAAACACACAAGAAAAGTATGTCATAGGTGAATGTGGTTGTTTTAAGGAATGATTCTTCTACATAGGTGAGGAATTGGTGTGTGGGAACATCCCACATATCACGCTATTTCTATAGTGCTCACTTTTTCACCATCATGCGCACTAACCAATCAAATTGCTTCCAACATCCGCATTTATACAGCGCTTGCTGCTAGCCCGCATCCACATCATTATGCGCGCTAGCCAACCAGCGCTCAGCAAATTTTTGTTCCACCATCACGCATTGTATAAAAGGCGGAGCACAAGCTCGCAAGTAGTCAGTCAACAGTCAGTCTTTGATCAGCAGTCTTCGTTGCCAGCGCTCGGTCTTCGGAGGCATCGGCACTTCACTGTGCCAGGCACGACTGCCTCGGCTGTCCAGCGGTCTCACACCCGACTCATTGGGCAACTCAGCCGCCTCAATTCGCTGGTAGTCATGCCCGACACACTTGGCAACTGGCATAGCTACCGCCCCTCCACTCCTGTGACCGCACTCAGCAAGCAAACCTTTTCCAGCGACCAAGCAACCAAGCAACCTCCAGCAACAGCCGCACTGCGGCCAGTCAACTGACTCAGCCGCCTCAACACACCGCAACCAACATCCCTTCCTACCGGTGCGCGCCACACTACCTCACTAGTCAAGCATCTCAGCAACCAGCGGTCCTTTTCAGGACCTACAAAACTGTTCCGAAGAAGTGGGTTGTCATTGAAGTAACGACAAAACAAAAACCCCACAGGTGTATTCAATTATGTGTTACATAGATTTTGAATTATATATACAGATTATTTATCTGTATCACATAGTTATGGCGTGCAGTAGCATGGTTGGTTGAGGTATTACAGTAAAAGCCTGAAGGTTTGCAGGTTTTATTCCTGATGAGGTCATTGGATTTTTCAGTTGACCTAATCCTTCTAGCCACACTATGGCCCTGCTGTTGACTCAACCTCCCGTGGGTAAAAGGTCACTGGTGCGTAAGGCTGACAACTTCACCGCCATCCACGACCTGGTTGCCTAGAAAATGTGGGACCTTGTCATCTCACAACCATAGGGCCCTCCATGGTCTGTTACATGGATAGCTTTACCTTTTTACCTTTTACCTTTATCACATAGTCACAGAGTCGTATCGATAGCTTTACCTTTTTACCTTTTACCTTTATCACATAGTCACAGAGTCGTATCTAACATGTTTGCTTATACCCCTCATTGCTGGTAATTGAAATGGGTGGCACAATCAAAGTTTGTACGAGTATGTATGCATAAGCATATCCCTGTGTCTGTGTAAGTACGTAATAAAGGTAAAAAAAAGTTAAAGTTTTCCCTGTGCTTACCTAATTAGGCACTATGCCATGAAGGCGTAAGGGAGAGTGAATGTATAGATCCACATTTTCTTGACCTTGGCCCTAGTTGGAGGGGAGTGGTCAGCTTCTCGTACCGGCCGCTTTACCCCTGGGAAAAGAGCCCCTGATACTCATTGGATAGGAGGTTTCGTGGACCCCTGAACTGGTCTGCACGATGTGGAGAGGAGAAAATTCTTGACCCTACTATTTTATGAATTATCTCCATCCAGAACCCATCGCAAATATATCTTTATGGCACAAATGCTTTTTCTATCACTGTGTAGTTGTCATACTTGAATAGTTTATGCCTAGAATCCTCAGAGGCTAGCTTCTGTGATGTTTTATTTATATTTCCTTAATTTCTGCAAAAATAATGTTATGTTTCACATTGACCCTTATAGCTGTATTTGAAATGATCAGAAGTTTTTGTTGACCGTTCCACATTTCTTTTCCTATTACGGGGAACATTTTTCAGAACAGAGTTCTTTAAAGAACTTTTTGTTGGAAGGTTATGGCTATCCCTGGCTAATACTTACTTACTTATTTACTCATGGAGCTGAGCCCTTCTTGAGGAGCCGCCAATTCTGCAGCTACTCAAGAATTTCTCAGCATTTTATGGAACCCGAAGGTTCATCACTGTGTTCACAAGAGCCCTCCACTGGTCCATATCCTGAGCCAGATCTATCCAGTCCATACCATCCCATGCTATCTCTCCAAGATCCATTTTAATATTGTTAACCCACATATGCCTTGGTCTTCCCTGCGGTCTCTTTCCTTCTGGCTTTCCCACCAATATCCTATATGCATTACCCCCCCCCATTCATGCTACATGACCTGCCCACCTCATCCTCCTTGACTTGATCATTCTAATTATACTTGGAGAAGAGTACAAGTTATGAAGCTCCTCATTATGCAGTTTTCTCCAACCTCCTGTCACTTCATCTCTGTTTCGTCCAAATATTCTCCTCAACACCCTGTTCTCAAACACCCTCAGTCTATGTTCCTCCCTTAATGTCAGAGACCAAGTTTCACACCCGTACAGAACCAGAGGCTAATAAAGAATTTAAAACACATTTGTCATTGTTTGATTCATACCATAGTACAGAGGATTTTGTAAGTCATGTTATCATAGGGTTCAAAGAATTGAAATTGGAGATTTGTGAACAGATTGAATTTTGGTTTGTCTGCAGATTTCCACATAATATACTATTCAGTGTAAGAGTATAAAATGATGCCTGCTTGTACCCATCTAATATTAACTTTATTAGCAAAATGAATGAAAGAATGAAAGAGAAAATGAGTAAATAAAGAACACCATGAAATGAATGAATGAATCATAAAAGTGAAAGGAAAAGTGTGTAATAGACAAGTCATGATGCTTGGCATTGCAGTAAATAGAAGTTGTTGGTGGCTGTAAGCAATGTTATTCAGTCATATGTAGTACTTCATATTGAATGATATGTGTATGATTTTTACAGATGTTTCTCCCAAGAGTTGGACCTCTCAGGAGTGCAGGTGGATGTAGCACTACGCAAGTTTCAGACTTATTTTCGAATGCCAGGGGAGGCACAGAAGATTGAGAGGTTAATGGAAGTGTTTGGTCAGCGCTATTGTCAGTGTGATCGAGATGTGGTTGCAGGATTTCGAAGTCCAGACACTGTCTTTGTTCTGGCCTTTGCTATAATAATGCTAAATACAGATCTCCATACACCAAATTTAAAACCTGAAAGGCGCATGAAATTGGAGGATTTTATTAAAAATCTTCGAGGTAAGATCTGTGTAGTATATGATATACACAATTTAGACCATGCAAATCCCATCTTTGTTTTTTTTTTTGGGGGGGTGTGGGGGGGGGGGGGGGGGAAGTTTCTTGAAGATGTGCTAGAGAAGAATTAAAAGCAGTGAAGTTAAAATTTTTTCATGCTTGTACATGTTATGAACTGGAAATGTGCCAGTCTGCTATTATCACAGATATTTTTTGTTTGCAACAGGTAGGTAGCCTTGCTGGAGAATCACTAATTTTTCATTGTGGATGAATACATACGTATTTCTTGCATAGCACCTGATGGCCTATGCATAAACTTCTTTTTCTATTTCATATTCTAATGTTCACTTCACGCAGGTTTTTCTCCATCTGCCTAGGCAAGTGTGGGGTGTTCACTTAAAATATGATATGTCTTTCTGTAGCACCATAGTTCCAGTTGATGAATAACATGAACCAAATATTGTGATGTTGTGGTCATCATTCGTGCCTTATGTGGGTGTTAAGATTTTGATTTTATAATTTTTTAAGTATATTTCCCCTTTTTACTCCAGTGAAGTAACTGGAAATTAGTTAAACTTGGCAATGTCTACTGCCTTCTGTTCCTGTCAGTAAATGTTGATCATAAAGTAACGTGTACATAACAATATATCAAAATGTGGGTTGTGAAACTGTAGAAGCAAATTGATGATTGTCCACTGTGCCTAATACTCTGGGTATGAAACTGAATAAACAAGGACACGTCTTCATACCAGAAATTCTGGATAACAAACCTAGTCTTTTACCCTTTTCCATTTGTTCTTGATCTCTGCAATTGAAAATATTAAAATTTTCATTTATTTGTTGTTGGTACTTTATCTAGTGTGTGTTTTGGCAGGTATATACTTCCTTTTAAAATATAATATATGCTCATGGCTGTTACTTTAGCCATTCTTAATGAGTTTTTTTTAAATATTACTGTACTTTTTCATATTTGTAGGCATTGATGATGGAGCAGATATAGACCGTGATATACTTGTTGGTATATATGAAAGAGTGAAAGCCAATGAGTTCAAACCTGGATCTGACCATGTTACTCAAGTTATGAAGGTACAGTCAACAATTGTTGGGAAAAAACCAGTAAGTAGTTTTATATTTTAATTCTAGTCTTTGTAAATAATTTTTATCTGAAATAACAGATGTTTTACTGTTGGCAAATTGAGATGCATTAAGAACAATTCAGAATCTCTATTGGTTCATGGATATACTGTAATATGCCTTTGACGCTGTATGAGAGAAAAGATCTGGTACAGTTTGTTATATTATCTGAAACTATACTTAATATACTGCTTCAGTTTTAACACGCAAGTGTTTTCAGCTGGAAGCATTAATGATTTGTGGAAAGGTGTCATGAGTATTATGCCTCTTAGTGTTTTTTGTATGGCTGGATGTCAAGGGTAATGTATTCGTAGTCATAGTAGTCACCATTTTATCTTTACAACGTCTAGTACTCAGCTTTAAATTCACAATTTTCTATGAAAAATACCATTTGTTGAGTTTTAGTCTGTATATTCAGTTTACATTTCAATTTTCTGACCCTGTTTGGGCCATGATAACTTATAGAAATTTTCCCTTAACCACTCATGAACGTGTGAATTGTTATGTTTTCGATGTTCTTTCTGTAATTACTGTACTGAGAAGAATGTCATTGAAACAGAAGGCAAATTTATTAAATTAAATTAAATTTTAATATTTAACAATGTGTCCTCTTCCTAATCCTGGTATTGAAGCTGTGCACTAAAGTTCTCGGACATTAGGGGAACTTTTGTGATAAAACTGTCACTGAATATTTCCTCTGTGGTAGGAGAACTTAATTTTTAATCAGTCAAAATATGAATGCTCTGAAATAGTCAAGTATATGCACTTTTGGTAATGTCTTTTCCTTTTTAATTACATTTTTTGTTTTTAAGCATATTATTCTAGTAATATAACACTTTGTATGCGTATTTATATGTACAGAATATGGCGCTTCCTCATCGACGGCTGGTGTGCTACTGCCGGCTGTATGAAATACCCGACATCTATAAAAAGGAGCGTCCTGGGGTTCATCAAAGAGAAGTTTTTCTTTTCAATGATCTTTTGGTTATCACTAAAATCTTGAGCAAAAAGAAAAATTCTGTAACCTACACATTTCGGCAGAGCTTTCCACTTTGCGGGATGGTGGTCACTCTATTTGAAGTTCCATGTAAGTCACACATGTTCCTGTCATAGATATAAGATTTGAAGTTGTCACAGTGAAGATAATTTAGATTTTGATCTTATGGTTTATGATAGCACGTTGTATATTAGGTGGTTTCCTGCATTTCAGAGAATTTGCTGTGTTTATCTTAGGATAGAAGATTGTTGTACATTCCTCTGATAACCACCTAAGAGACTACAAGGTGCATTCATCTGGAAGGTACAATCTAAACATTTATCATAGCCAGTCAGGATGAATGAGCGTTATTCATTAATGGTGACATAGGGCATATCAGACAGTAACAGACTGCATCTGTGCATTAATTCTAGGACTGCATAATTCTATCAGAATTAATTTAGCTTACTTGGAAGCATAATAAGTAAGTAGTATTTTTCTAGAGGGACAGAATTTCAGATGTTCATTTTTTCCTCTAGCATGCACAGCTGAGCTAAGAGCATGTAAACAATAACAACATATTCTGATGACAAAAGAGAAACAGAGTAAATATTATAGCATGTAGAGAGCCATTACTAGGTTATGGCAAAGTATACAGCATATCAGCATAACAATGATTGCACAACCAACAGAGGAACAAGTCACGTGCACAGTGATGTCACGCAGCAGTAGGACAGCTGCAGGAAGCGATGTTGCCATGTGGTCTGGCACCAGATGGACAGTGTGGCTGCAGTGGAACTTGTGATGCCATGCCACCCATATCAACAGAGAGATGGTGTTTTCTGTTTGGTCTGCTCTTAGGCTATACCACTCAACTGACAGAGTTAAGCTCAGTGAGTGGAGCTAGAGCCAATGGAATGGAGGCATGTTGATTTGAGAATTTGGCAGTTGGAAGCCAGTACAGGAGCTGCAGTGAGATAGGCGACAGCCAGCGAGGATTTGAAGCTGAGAACACTGAATTTGAGGGATCTGCGGTCTTGGTGACAACCAGTGAACATGCAGCAGACTGGGAAGGCTTAGTACATGCTGTAGTGAACTGCAGAGTTGTAAATTAGTGGTAGCACTATAGTTACTTGTAGTTACAATCTGTACATGCTCAATAAATCCAGTTACTAATCCAGATGTTTGTTACTTTCAGACAGTTGTGGGTTTATTGATATGGGACACCCTCTCTGATGACAGGATGGATCTGTTGTTTGCAGTTGCTGCTGGCTTCGCCAGTGCAGTCAATTTTAGGTCTGAGTCCCATGGAAATCATAACCATGGGCTTATGACTGACTGAAAGTCAGAACTCTCTAACTGCAGAGCATGTTATGACTGACGGTCAGTCGGCCAGTCAGTTTTGGTATCAGACCCATCTGAGGTCCAAGACCAGATTTATGTTATTGTCAGACAATTGCGGTTTTGTCGATGTGGGGCTCCCACTCTGACATGAGGATGGCCAAGTCAAAGTTAAAGTCATATTCTGACTGACAGTCAGTCAGTCAGTCAGTAAGTCTTGGTGTCGAGCCCCACCATACTAATTATTACCATTTGACAGTTACGATCTTCTTTCCGTGGGGCGCCCTCTCTAACGAGAGGACAGGTCTGTCTTTTCTGTATGCTGCTGGACTTTGCCAGCGCAGTCTTTCTTGGGCCCGAGTCCCTTGGGACTCGCGACCATATTTTACTGTCTCAGATTTGAGACTTCCCTTTTCATCGCCTCCTACGACTCTCATTTAGCCTTGGCACAGACCACATAGAAAACACTGTTTCCAGCAGTACCTTTATTGTTGCACGTACATTCAATATGTTTTGGTTTCCATTGCCTAGCAGTGGCTGTATCTTCTTGCTGCACTACTCTGGCTTTCAGCCCTCTTGTCAAAATATGTACCAAATCCTCTGCTCAGCTTGGTTCTACCCTTAAGATGTAGACAGCAGGTCCCTCCAAATGTTGGTGCATATGTACTGGACTATACATGGTGATGCATCTCAGAAGACCATAAGCATGGGAACTTCACATCTCATATAAATGTAATGATTGTTCTGTGTACATTCACAATTTACCTCACATGCTACCCAACCAAAAGCCATTATATGACCAATGAATTTTTTACCTCTCTCTATTTGATATGTGAAATCAAAAAATTTTTAGGATAGAAAATATTATGATCTGTCTCTGACTTCATAATTTCTTTTCCACTTGTAATATAAACATGGTCAGATATATCCATGTACTGGTAACTTGTTTGGTGATAATTCTCAAAAGGATAAACATCACTAAATAGATAACAGTATTTATATGAACGGCATTTTCTCCCAACATTAAAGTTGTATGTACTTACATACTACAGCTATCCCTTGTACATAATGTAGCTACTATTGCTGGATGTTCATATTGTATGGTAATTCATTCTGTGTATTGGGAATGATGTGGGGTACAGTACAGGATAAGAAGGCAGTTAAACTGTAGGTTTATTGAGTCCAATAAAGTGTTAATTATTTCAGGACCATATTTACATGATAATTGACATAAGATTGTTTTAAATTCTGAGGGAAAACTGAAATGATTTTAATATGATTTAGATGGACTGATTAATAATAGTGTGATTATAGTGTTTAATTTTTACCTAAAAATCATTCTGATAACTACTTGATCCTCCATTAATGCATATGTACTCTCTGTGTTTTGAGACCTGACGTTGGTTTCAGATTCAAATAAGAAAGTTTATTACAGGAGTATTTGAAGAAAACTGATATCAGACCATTTTTTGAAATGGACTATATTCTTAGGATACTAAAGTTCTTTAAAGAAATTAATGTATAAATGAAAGTAAAAAATTTCTTCCTCTTTTTATGTTGCAGATTACCAGTATGGTATCAGATTGTCTCAGCGAGTGGATAACAAAGTATTGGTTACATTTAATGCACGCAACGAACATGATCGTTGTAAATTTGCTGAAGATTTGCGAGAATCCATTAGCGAAATGGATGAGATGGAGAATTTACGCATTGATGCTGAACTCGAACGTCAAAAAAGTGGCCGTGGGGGTCGCAGTAGTACTGAAAACAGAGACAGTGGAGTAGCAGATGTGGAGGTTTGTCCGTGTGTGCAATCGGGGCTGGGGGGCTGTGACAGTGACGGTTATCCAGAGGGCGACAGGGAACATCATGTACCTGACACTGTGCTCAAGCGATCTGCTCTCAGCAACTCTCTTCTAGATATTCATGAGCAGTGTAAGTAGCATACTGTACCAGCTGTCCTTTAACATAAGAGGGTCCAAACGAAATGACGTGCCTTACCTCCTGTTACTTGCATTATAATTTTCTCATCCTAGTCCAATATCCTAGATTTCCTGTACTCACTTGGGCACCTGCGGAGTGGAGTGCAACTTTGGTAGGAATTCGAGAAAGAATTTGGGTGTGTATTTCCAGGTGATAAACCACAGCGGAGAGGAAGTATGGGATCTCTGGACAGCGGAATGTCCATTTCATTCCAGTCCATATCTACCAGCACTGTTAGTCACGACTCATCACCTCAGAATGTTCAGTCACTTTCAAAAGCTAAAGGAAGCAAGCAGATGATTCATCAGCAGTCCTTCCTTGGAGGTTTGTTTGCCAAGAGAGAACGCAAAGTTTCTCGTGCAGAAGAGCCGAACCCCTTCAGTCGCAGTACAGATGTATAGTAATGCTGATATATGCACAGACAGTTGAATGTTGGTGAATTTATTAATTGCAGATATCTCATTTGCATAACATTTAATGTGTTTGGTCACTAAATTTCAACTTCCTTAACCTTCTTATGACTGATATTGATAGAGTGTAAAGTACTGAGAAAAGAGCCCTGATATTACCTGTTCCTTTGCCTCATTACCTTAATGTACAATTATATTTGTTGGATATTTCCCCCCTTCTCTTTAGTATTGTATAATTTTATATTTAAATAAAATTCAAGTTTTTTGTACATTAATACTTTTCACGTGTGTATCAAGTGATGAATAAAGTCTCATAATCATACTTCCATGATGTTAATAAGAGAATTGTATGGCAGTTCAGCTTAATTGTTATTTATTACACATTATGAAATGTGAGACAGTGTATAAACTTACTTATAGTGTATAAGTGTAATTAACAAGAATTTTTCTTGCTGAAAGATGTTATAAGCATCATTTAACTAAATAGTAATTTAATTAGGTGAATATAATATTAATTTCACCATAAGTTCTGGTTAATCAGAACCTAAGTCAGTGAAATTAATACAGTAATAAAACTTTCATGTACAGAAAGAAGTTCATTCGCACATGAATTTATGTGATTTCATTGATTTTTGGCATGATTTTTGTGCAAGTGGTACAATTACCAAATACCAAAAAGAAAACTTGGTCAGACTGTTAAGTTGCATAAATGTGTGTGTTTGAGTGGAAGAAAGTGAGAGAGAGAGAAAGTTGTGTGTAATAATTATATGATGGGCATACACACATTAAAATAAATGATTATATATGAATTATTGGAATATACTATTTAAGTACTAGTATCAATATAAAATAACCATTTCCTAAATAAACATTGCAGATTTCTAATGCAGTTTTTACTGCAGGGACATTTGTTTTGTGTTAATACAGTGAAATGCATTACAGTGAACTTCAGCCAACGCAGGAATTGTACTGAATGAAATGGAAATTCATTGAAACAATAAAGGGCAAGCATGTATATCAAATCTTAAAAAGGTAACAAAAGAAGTAAGCATTGTCACATGTAAGTAACGTGCTTACTAGCAACTGATATTGAGGTTTCTAAACCAGTTTTGGTCTTTGAAGCAGGAATTACTGAGCCACCTTGCAGTGAAAATCTAACCTCTTATAAATATGAAATTTTGCAACCCATGTGTGCACATACCAACACATGAATGCACACACATTCACATTCTACTTGTTACTGACCCTGAAATATGTACATCTACTTTCACTTTTTCATTCTGTACATTGTTCTATTTCCACTATTCCACCAGTTAGTAATCCGTTTCTTTTTTCATCCTACTCTTGCACTTCAAGCAAAAGTTTGGCCCTTTCATGTGGATAAGTTGAGTACATTATTACACAGTCCCCAACTTTTTATATTTTGAGCATTTGATGTCTTGTGAGAAATGCTCAGAGTACTGGTATGTCATCAAGTTTCTGTTCATAAAAAAAAATTGTTTTATATTGTCAGTATTACATTTTCATCTTTGGAATAATCTGCCCATAGCACTTCACTTTGTATCAAATTGTGCTGACAGCACATACTGTCCAGTAACCCTCCTAGAAATGGTTTCAGTTCAGCCTGTACTTCTTTTGGAATTGATATGGCCAGTTGATAATGTCATGCTTATTGTTTCACTGCATTGTAGTAGCTAAGTAATACTTGTTGATATGCTTTGTGCAAATGTTTCTTTTAGTCACTTGGAAGTTAGTGTCATAATCATTAGATGTGCTTCAGACTCTGTCCTAGATCATTATGGGAAAGTGTTTTATGTCTTTCTCTTGAAAACATAGAAAGATTATGGCATGATAACATATTTCATAGTTAATATGTTATTCCTGCCTCTGTATCACCTCTGATGGAACTTCCAGAATTGTTGTGGCATATAAATTGTTTATGCCTGTTGCTGGAGTGCTGAACCACAGGGAAATAACCTCTGAATAGTATTTGACACTGGTTCTGATGTTGGACACTGCTACAGTGAAAGCCACTAGTATCTGACATGTATTTTGCCTGTTTACTCCTCCTTCTCCACCACCACCACTGCCACAGCGACTGCCAATGTTTGGACCTTTCAGCGTGTTCTGTTCCTCTGTAAGATAGGATCCTTCCAGCATAAGTTTGGATGTCCAATGGATCTTGTTCCTCTAGGTTTATAATCTGTTAACTGTTTTGGAATGCATACACTTTCTAAAGTGAGAGACACACTCTCTCCCACACATGGGTACAGGTTGTCGTCTGAATCAGAGAAGCCAAGAGGGGTGGCACTTGCTGTGTATTTATACAGATTTACAAGATGCCAACCTTTGCTATGTTTTTAGTTTACATATAACACTTGCTTACACAACATTGCCATAGGGGTGCTTTCCCTTTCCAGTACTCTTCCAATGTATTTATGAACTTTGGTCGGTAACTATGGATGTCATCAAAAGATTTGTAATATTCAGTAACATCCGTATTCACTTTCTCTACTCTGCCCCTGACCAAGGCTCAGAATAACAAGGAGAGAGTATTGTTCACAAACAATTTACACAAGATTTCATTTCTGCATTGGGAATAACACGTGTATGCTCTTGCCTTCTCAATAAACATTGATCTGTAATGAATAAAATATGAACTCACAGTAATCATTTGTTGCGCCTGTAACATCCATTTAAGGTTTTTTTAATATATATACCTAAAAATGTCAGTTCCAATGAGTAAGCAATTTCCAAGTTATTATAGAGTATCTGCAGTCTAACCACAAACCTACTGTTACTAAGATGGAATAACATAGCAACTATTTTTTTAATATTTATTAAAAGGTTATTTACCTCAAACCGTATTTCAAGCTGTTTCATGATCTTATTTATTTTCTGTTGAGCTACATCTTCATCTTTATCAACAACAAGTACGTTAATATCGTCTGCAAATGATACCATTTCCGCACCTTGTACATTTAGTGGGAGATCCTTTATATACAGAAGAAACAATAGTGGTCCCAGAATTGACTCCTGTGGTACCCCATGTATTGTTTCTCTCAAGGGTGATATACATATATGTATTTTGGATGATATTTTTATTCAGGTTATTTAGTGCAACAAATTGTACTCGGTGAGATAAGATTTAAACCATAAATTAGTAACCCCTCTGATCCCATAGTAATTTAATTTATCTAGTATTTTTTTTTATTGCTAGTGGGGTGGGACTAAGTCCCTTGTACTGCAGCCACTTCTGGCCTATTGTACCAGCCCCAGATGATGGGTGAGGGTGATTGTGGAGCAATTGGTGGAATGAAGATTGGCAGGGGAAACCAAAGTACTTGAAGAAAACCTGCCCAAGCGCCACTTTGTCCACCACAAATCACACTTTACCAGACCCGGGATCGAACCTGGGCCACCACGGTGGGAAGCCAGCGACTAACCACTTTAGCTATGGCCCAGCCTAATTTATATAGTAATATATTGTTGACTATCACATCATATGCCTTTGTCAAGTCAAAAAATATTCCTATAACATGTAACCGTCTATCCATCGCCTCCTGTATAATCTCAGTGAAGGTCTGGGAAGCTGTTTCTGTTGATTTGTGTTTCCTAAATCCATTTTGCACTCCTGTTAATGTGGTATATTTTGTTACAAAAGATATCAACCTGTTATACACTAATTTTTCTAGTATTTTGGAGAAAACCGGCAAAACTGATATTGGCCTGTAATTACAAGCTTCCTGTCTTTCCCCTTTTTTATACAGCACTCTCACTTTAGCTATTTTCATCTTATCCGGAAAGAACCCTGGTTTTAAAGAGACATTGAAAATATGTACTAAAGTTTTCTTTATATAATGTGAACATCTCTTGGCTAAATATTCTAGAATTTCATCAAAGCCTGCAGATGGTTTACCTCTTAGACTTTTTATTACCCTCTCTATTTCAATTTCGGTAATAGGGAGCCAAAATATTATGTTCATTTGATATTGAATCCTCTGTTGTGAGGTTTGTACTGGAGAATGTTTTATATTATTCACTAAAATATCTTCAACACTTTCAATAAAAAAGGAATTCCAACATGTCTGCCATTTTTTGTGGATTAGATGTTTCCTCGCTTCCATTCTTTAAACTAGTTATATAGTTGCCCTGCCGAGAACTTCCAGTTTCTTTATTTATTATTTGCCAAATTGCCTTTGTTTTGTTATGTGAACTTAATATAAATCTATCATTTTCTTTTCTTTTAGCTTCTGTTCTAACACTTCTATAAATTTTCTGATATCTATTAATGTATTCTAATACATCATTTGAAACATTTGTATTTTTCTTTAAAGCGTTTAAAAGTCTCATTTTCTGACTTGAAACCTTTATCCCCTGGGTAATCCATTTAATCTCATTACAGTTTTTCTTATAAACTGTCTTTAAAGGAAAAGCTCTTTGAAAATAGTACAAAAATCTGTTCAAAAAAGTATTGTAAGAGGTATTTACTTCATCATATAAAAGAACATCTTCCCAGGATTCCATCTCAAGTAGATGGTTGAATTCTTCTATATTCCTACCTGAAAACTCATCTTGTAATTTTTTCCATCCTGTTTCAGGCTTATTATTATTAAAATCCACTACTTCCTCTTCAGTTATCTCAAAATCATTTTCACTACCCATGCTGCTTAAGTATTAGTTATTAGTTATTTAGAGAGGGTGGGTATCCCCATGCACCGCGACCAGTTTGATCTATTGTGCTTCCCTCTATGATATTCTACCAGTCTCTATACCCTACCGATAAATGGTGCGTACCATCAGTCCCGCCGAGCAAGAGAGTTCAGCCACTTGCTTAGTGGTGTCTATAATGCTTCCCCCATCTATCAGAGGCCTTAGAGACTATTGTTGGGCGGGAAACGTCCTGGAATTTGGCTCAGTGATCCCCTTTGGGGATATGAGGTTCTTTTACGTGCCATAAAGTTACGACACGGGACACACAGCTTAAAGTCCCTCCCGGAGGACTTGTTCCCTGAATTTTTCCGCCCTTAAAAATTCGATGACCTCCACCGGGTATTTGAACCCGCGTACCACGAGTCATGAGGTGGGAACGTTACCTCTAGACTGCGGAGGCCGCTTGCTGCTTAAGTAACTTACTTCTCTTGCTTGTGAATCCCTTCGTACCCATATACATGAACCTCCACCATTTCAACTAATTCTACTAAAATTTTTTATTAATTTGTAGTATTCAATATTTAATGTTCTCGTTTGTTCATCATTTAGCCAATGTTCAGAGAAACATAGGATATCTAAGTCTGTAGACTATGTATTCAATAAAACGATTAACTCCAGTAACTTATTTCTCAGACTCTGAACATTATGGTGCAATATTAATAACTCATTTGATGCTGAAACCTGTTTCTTGCCAACCTCACTAGTCACTATTTTTATTTCTTGTTGAGGGCTACCCATAAAAAATCCTCACTTTTTGTATGTAATTTACGACGTCCTTTTGATTAAACCAAGACTTGCACCATATTATATATATATGATGATCAAAAGCTATGGAACAGCCAGATCTATTCCACAGATCCATAAACCAACACTCAAGATTGGTATAACACTCATTATTTATGCTTCCTGTAATACTGAAATATGTTGAAATATCTGATACAGGAGAATCAGGAAATTTATGCACAGAGCTAGTCTGACAGGCTGTGTAAGCATGTAGGTAATTCTCAAGACTAGTTTCTAGAATACCCGATGATGGAAAGAGCCCCAAAACCCAGTAATTCTGAGTGTTATACACTATTGTCAGAACGCTTTAGAATCTACATGTTAAGTAATGTTTAACAGTAAACCCAAGATTAAAATTGGAGAAGGAATGCTATCATTGCATACTGAATCTTTTGGGTTCATTACTGCTGTCTAATGATAGGAAGAAGCTAGACTGATGATGTTTGAGAGCAGGGTGCTAAGGAAAATATTTGGACCTGAGAGAGATGGAAGTAATTGAATTGCATAATATGGAACCTCAGAATTTGTACTCATTGTTAGATGTTATCAGAAGAGCCAGATCAAGGAGGATGAGATGAGAAGGGTATGTAGCATAATGGTGGGGCACATGGTAGCGTAGTTGGTTCAGGCACTATGCTACAAGCTGGAAGGTCATGTGTTCAATTTCTGATGGGGTCATTGGATGTTTTCAATTGACCTAATCCTTCCAGGTGCACTATGGCCCTGGGGTCGACTCAGCATCTAACAGAAATGAGTACCAGGAATCTTCCTGGGTAATAAAGTGCAGCCAGTGTGTAAGTCTGAAAACTTTACCACCATCTGTGAGCCGGTTATCTAAAGATAATGTAGCCATCACAGCCTGTTACAGGGATAGCTTTGCCTTTATTTTTGCCCCTTTATGTAGCATAATGATAGAAATGCATAAAAATTTTTGATAAGAAAACCTGAGGGATAGAGACCACTCAGAAGACTAGGTATAGATTGGAGGGTGTTTTTTGTTTTTTGCTTTAAGATGCTGTCAGTATCTAGACTCTTTAGCATTAAAGCACAATATTAAAATAGAAATATATATTACAGAAATGCATACAATCCCATCTACCACTTCTACACTACATGTTCCGGCAGTATGCTTCCATCTTCAGGTGTATCGATCCATTGACCATTTCATTGCTTGTCTTTATATATCCATTTACAAATAATATTAAATTTGTATACATCCTTATATAATAATAAAGTTTATGTGTTTGAAACTTGTTAAAACCTATTATCTCATACATCATATTTTAAAAATTATTCATCCACATGGGGGTCATTCTTCTTATGTTTCTAATGTTGTGTGTAAATTGTGTCTTATGATGTGTTCTACTCTTGTGGCTGCGTGCGTTGTGTCATTGGATACAATGATACAAATTCAATATTAATTGTAAATGGACATATAAAGGCAAGCAATGAAATGGTTAACGGATCGATACACCTGAAGATGGCAGTGTACTACCGAAACATGTAATGTAGAAGTGGTAGATGGGATTATATGCACTTGAAGACTGTTAATATATACGCATTATGAATATGAATCAGTGCAACAGGATGCTAAAATACAACATATTACAGAAAGACTTAGTTCCATGTTTTGTGTATGTGTACACGTGTGATGGCATTCACATTCTTCAGGTGCATTGAACAAATTTTTACTCATTAATAATAACACTTCTAGCAGGTTGTATGACTTTTTGATCATTCTGTATGTGCAGAATGAACTCAGTTTCTCTTTGTTGAAGCGAAATTATTGTTAATTTGAGTCTTGAAATAAACATCTCTGTGTATTTACAAAGAATGTCCTGAAATTAGAGTTATAAATGAACTGGAAATGAGTGTGGAAATACATACATAAAATACTTACAAAAGACATGTTCAGGGATGTATTATTTTGCAGCATGTTCATTTGTAATACAAAACCACATAGACATAAATCATTTCCAGTTTATTAAATATGCATCTTGTCAAAAAATGGTTTGAATAAAAGTTACAGAATTCAGTGTGGTTTATATTTTATCTCATTCATATATTGTTTGTGCCATTTGAACCGTTTTGCTTCATGGAGAAATTTGTAGAATCTGAATATCATACTTCATTGAAATCAGACAGATTTGGAGATAAACATGAGGGTGGATGGATTAATACCTTCCCATTATTTGATCAGCTCATGTAAATAACACTCAGGTAATTGTGCACTATGCTGATTGTGAGCCTGAGTATTTTGTCATGTGTAAGCTTTTATGGTGGCATTTCCAGACCTGCAAATCCTAAAAAAATTGTAACTGGATATTTGCTGTATTAGTATTTCACTGTATTTAGAAATATGCAGGGTTGTTTTGAGGATGTGTTTTAATGTGCCTCATTTCAGTAATATGGTTTCATTGTACCAGTTTTGGTGTAACAGTGCTAACTTACAAATCATGGCTCACTCAATGTATACTGCATTTAGTTACCATATATAAAACTTAGGCTTTGAAATTACAGTAGCTTAACCTTAAAACAGCCAGTACCCTCAAATAACAAATTAAAAACTAAAGAAACAGCATTAAATCTATTTGTATTTTGTATAATCAAGTCATATTCTATTGTTTGTTAACCTATTTGCTAATGATATTTGTCTTTTGTAGTCACTGATTAGTAAGTTTTGTACTGGAAGGTCAGCGTAATTAAACTGACGTTCCATCTACTTGAGGCAGTGTATTAATGTCTTTATTCTTAGTT